CCAGTCCACCGCCGAAGCCGTCGGGCCGGTCCGCAGCAGGGGACGAGCCCAGAAAGTTTTCCAGATGCACAATGGCGGAAGCATGGTACTCTTCGGGATGATGCTGGTGACCTGCAAGTCGCCGCTTCTTGCTACTCGGTGGTGATGATCGTGACTTGGTTGGGAAGCGGCCGTGGTCTGACGTCGGCGAGCCCTCAGAGTCGGAACTGCCCAGTATGATACCAGCGCCTATGGCAAAGACAATGTTGAGCATGTATGATTCTCGCGAGGTGCGGTTCCGCTCCCCCGAGGCGTACACCCGCTCAAACAACTCCATGAACTCACCACGATGCAGAATGGGAATCTGCGGGTTTGCGTGCTCAAAGTACAGCTCAACCAGACGCGACCCAAGCTCTCGGTCAGGAAAGGGCGCCTGCCGGATGGTAGGCTTGGTCTGCAGGCCAAAGAATGAGTCGCGCATCGAGGTGCCGCTGTCGACGACGCTGCTCGGCACCTTGCCTCCGCGGTTGCTTCCGCGCTCAGAGGAGGAGCCCGATACTGAGCTCTTGACTGCAGCAAACACCACTCTTGCAAAGGATATGCCGGAGGTTGAGCCCAGGTACCGCGGGTCACTTGCGCCTTGCACCGAGACCATTCCAATGTTTGATACAAGCTTTGTCAGCTTCTCACGGTCATACTTGTCGCTCTCCTCCTTGACCTGGGCGGGTGTCGGCTTGATGGTGCCATTGCGAGGTGGCGGCGCAGTAGTAGCAGATACGGGCTTTGACGAGGAAGATGCGCTGGGCGCAAAGGCCGGGTTGAAGTCTTCTGCTTCCTGGAATGTAATCGAATGCTCTTGCAGTAGTGTCTCGAGGTATGCGACGCGGGTTTCAAGGTAGTAGACATAGCTGTCACACTCGTCAGCGTTTGAGCCGAGGCCAATGCAGAAAGAAGGCTCCGCCCGTGTATGATTTCGTACCTGCGCGGAATTTCACGCTTGGTGATGGGATCGTAGCCCACGCACTTGACGCTGGCCTTGTCGCATGAAGCGCACGAGGGAAGGCGTTGGTCGCATCTGTTCTTGCGGAGCCTGCAGCGGTTGCACGCGCTCACATTGCGGAACGAGCTCGCGGACGAGGGCGCGGCGGGCGATGCGGGCTTCACTGTCGACACAGAGGAGTCCGAAGGCGAGGGCCTATCGCCGTCATGAGAGGACTCCTCCAAAGAGCGCTTGAGACCGCTCATCAGGGCGCATGGCAAGAAATGTCAGGGTTTCGGCTAGTGAGAGCTTTGGCGGCGTATCTCCGAGCTCACTCTAAGATGACGGGGCGGGCAAGCTCTCTCTCTCTCTCTAGTCTCCCCGCACTTTGAACATAAGGCGTCAGTCGACCACCACCAATACCAATACCAATACCATCAACACCACAGTGACCGACCAAGATATCAATGTGGGATATGATTGCGTGTCCAAGAAATCGCGCGGTGGGCGTACAGGTGCCATTCTGCCTGCCCCGCAAAGCAATCAATGGCCGTTGGTCGCTCGTTGCATGGCTAGTAGGCTGTGCCGTGGCCCTTATCTCTCCAGTAATGCCTTGTAGATAGGCTGCGTGGGCTAGAACGTGGGTTGCTAATACTGCGGCATACCTCAGCATCATAACTACTACAAAGTACACGGGTGAGGCATGTTTTGGGATTTGGCCATGAAATCCTGCCCCCGGCGCAATCACCACCGAGACGTTCGCGTAAGTATAAATCCACGCGGTGCTAGCTGCTTCACCCCGTGACCGTCAGTCTTGGAAAGAAAGCATTGTGCCGGAGATCCTCACTCTTAGCATAGCGGTCACTGACTCGAGACCCTGAGTATTGCGATGCGCATGAAGCACACCGATTCAGGCACGTGTAGAAGCAAAAAGGAAGCATCTATAACATCCAAGGGGGGACCCCTTCGGTCCCTTCGGTTATGCTTATGCTGTTAGACTTGTTTCGCAGAACCTCGCGTAGATCATCCTGACTCTGCGTGGGGCCCACACACGGCTTCATTCCAGCCAACTCACCGCTGCACTCTTTGTCCGAGTCAGGCCTGTCAGCGTTACACCCCCCCATGCTTATGCATACGGAGTCCGGAGCTAACAAGAAAAAAAAAGTAACTCTGCTAGTGTTTGAGAATCATTCATGTCATCCATTTGCCTGAGCAAGCTATTCTAACTAACATACATACAGTGTGATGATGGGGAAATAATACATGCCGGGGTATTCTGTTCTTGAAACAAACGCCTGCTCAACAACCATTGCTGGTCTCTGAATACAATTGAGCTTTTCCGTCTAATAAAAATGGAGTTCAAATGTGCCGCCCAAATAAGTCATGTCGCTAAGTCGCTCCCATGATAATACGCCGATTAAAAAGAGTACAAAGGGTTCGTCGTCGAACCCACCAATAAAAGTCTATAATTCCCAAGGTTTAATGCAAAAGCAAAGGTGTCGCTGCCAGCGCGTAAAGGTCGAGTCCGTGGCAGGGGCTGTATCCAGAAAGCGAAGAAGAGAGAAAAAATATACATATATGAATGCGCCGTGTTGTGTAGGTCGTGAATTTTTCGAGGTTTATTTTGCGAGAACAGTGTCTACCGTCTCATCCGGGGTGAGAGTGATGATGGAATCGGCGTCAGAGTCGTTGTCTAGAAGGGCCTCCTCGTCGTCCTGGCAAGTAAAGTTGGGTCGCTTGTTGCCCTCCTGCAGAGCAAATCCGGGAAGCCAGCCGAGAAAGGCTACTGCAGCAATGGTCCACCATGCGAGGCCCGACATGTGCAGAGAGGTGCCTAGGCTGTCAACGGCGCCGGATACAGTAGGACCGAAACCGCGCGCAATGCTAGCAGAAGACATGGCAACACCGTTGAGTGTGCCAAGGACCTTCTTCGAGGGAGATGAATTTGCGAGGATGATGGCCAAAGAGGGATACGAGAGCGACTGGAAGGTAACTTTGGCGAGGAGCAAAACCATGAGTCCAGGAATGCGGAGGCTCTCGGGCAGAATGGCCAGGTACGGAGCCAAGAGGTAGAGGATCGGGTAGCATGAGAGAGTAATCCAGAAGGTGCGAAGGCTGCCAAGCTTCTTGCTAAGCCAGGGAAAGACAATGACCTGAGCAAACATTTGGAGGAAGCCCTGGGCGGCAAGGAAAGCCCCTGTAGTCTGAGTCGACCACCCGAATCCGCCCTCGAAGTGGAAGGGAAGATGCTGGTTGTCGCCCGAGGGCAGCTTCTTGGACATGAGAATGGGCAAAAGCTGCTCGAGCGAAATTGTGTGGAATGCGAGGATGCCATAGCATACAACGTTCATGCACACTTGCTTGGAAAAAGCCTGTCGGATCGTAGGCGCGGGTGCGAGTTCCTTGTCGAGAGAGAAGTCGGGCAGTTCGGAAATGGAGGTGCGGGTGCTGCAGAGCGTGGGTGAAGTCTCGGTACTTCGGTATGCCTGGGCATTGTGGTCGTGATCGTTGAGCATCGATGTCATTTCGTCTAGCGAGGCATCCTTGTCGTCAAAAGTTTGCTCTGCGTCGCGCTTCCAGAGCTTGCGGAGCAGCCATTGGCCGGCCTCGCGACCGCGATCTTGATCGTACTTGCGATCTTCGTGAGTCTCCTCGAGGAACAGGATGCCGACCGTGAGTCCGAGAATAACAAAACCAGTGCATACAAGGTTTGGAAGAAGAAACGGGTAGGTTTCGAAGATTGTGGCTTTGAAAAAAGGCATTACGTCGGCAGGGCGGGCAAGCAAGCCGCCAAGGGCTCCGCCAATAATGGTGCTGCAAAATGAGCAGTCAGCCGAGGATAAATAGGGGAAGGCGAAAAGGAAGCGTACCCGAGGCACCAAACAAAGGGCATGATGGAATAAGCGCGAGCTATGGGGGGAAAAAGTCAGCTCGGATCGGCGTTGTTAATTAAAGGTTAGGCCAAACTTACGTTGGTGTCGCTCATCCGTGATCAATTCTGCGACGGTGGTTTGGAGTACGCCGATGTTCCTGCATATTCGGTTAGCGAGGCTCTGACGCTAAACCGCACTATGACCTCACCCGTTCAGCAAACCCCCGAGAGCCCGGGCAATGAGCGCCATTGGCAGGCTCTGGGAGAAACCGAAAAGAAGCATGCTCAGCCCCGTTCCCAGGAGGCCCCCGAGCAGGACCTTCTTCCGTCCGACCCGGTCGCTGAGTCGGCCCCAGAAAATGCCACTGATGCACTCCATGAAGGCGAATGACGAAGTTACCATGCCCGTGTACATTGAGATTTGGGCTGAGCTCTGGCCACTCATGAAGGATTCGACCATGAAGTAGGCATAAGGAAAGATCGACATGAAGGCGATGGGTTCGCATATCCGGCACAGGGCTGATGATGGTCGGTTAGCGAGTCACATGATGACAACGACGACGAGGTCGGGGTGGATGCAGTGGCGACTCACCAAGTACGGCCATCTGTCGAGTGGGAAAAGGCGTTTTGGCGCTGCCCATGGCAGTTGGGGCGCCATACCGAGGCATTGTGATGGTAGTGGTAGAGTGGTGGTGACGACGATGATGATGATGATGATGGTAATAGTAGTCGGGGCGCGTATGTATTTCAAGTTGTCGATGTGGTGTGGGTGTAGATGGATATGTGGACCAATGTTTGGTGCTGGGGGGTTAAAGGCGACGGTGGTGGTGGTGGTGGTGGCGGCAGCAGCAACAAGTGGCAGACGAAGAGAGATAAAACATGTGCGAAGGCTGGGACAGATGGGTACCTCCAGGGTTCAAGAGGAGCGTGCTGGAAGGAGACGAGTGTCACAGGGTATATAAGGAGCAGCAAGATTTAAGTGGCGTCCTGAAAACGGATAGCCCGCTGGGAGTGAGCAAGGATGGTGGCGGCGGGGAAGAAACGGAGAAGAAGCGGTGATGGCAGTGGGTATGGATACGTAGTGTGGGCGGATAGGGACAGCGGAAGGACCAGCAAATGTAAAATGAGGAGCGGATCCGTGATGGCATGGTTGCTACGACAGGGCGCACAATGGACGGCGGGCAAGCAGGCAAACAGGCAAGCAAGCAAGCAAGCAAGCAAACTAGGTACGTGTAACTACTACTGCTAGGCCGTTTGTTTGTGGGCGTCACCGGACGGACAGGCATACAGACAGACATGAGCGAGAAGTGGAGATGATGGTGCGTGTGAGTGTGTGCGCCGCAGGAGCAGGCACAGGCGCAGGCGCAGAAGCAGCAGCATCAGCAAGCAAGCAAGCAGAGGGCTCGGGCTCGAGGCGACTCCAACAACCCCTGAAGGGAGGGCCAGGGCTGGGCTGGGGAAAGCAGCAGCTGGCGGTGGTGCGCGGTGGTTCGGGTTGGGCGGAATCCACGACATTGGACGAAGCTAGAAGGAAGCGAGTAAGGCGGACCAGGGGAGAGTTACAAGAGCGTTGGACGTGGCTCGTAAGAGGAACAGGATCACCAGTGCAGCCCGACTCCCCGGGACCCAAAGGCTCGGCGCTAGAGGGACCGCATGCTTTTCCCACCGCGGACTTTTGCAGACATAGCACAGGCGGAGGCATAGCCGAGGGCACAGGCACAGGCGACCATGCAAGGGCCCCCTGCGAAGATGGGAACGACATGCCGGCGCCGCACCTGGCCGTTCACATGCCGTAAACGGAAACCGGTAACCTGTCCGCAGCCCCGGCCGACAAATGGGACACGGTGCCGGCTGCTGCCCACACCCTGCCATCCCATCCCATCCCATCCCATCCCATCCAGCTCCAGCCCGCGACAAACACCACGCCCAGCCCGCCTCAGGGGCACCAGCGCCAGCCAGAGAGCCCGGCCAGACTGGCGACGGCGGCGGCGGCGGCGGCGGGCGGCGAGTCAGCAGAGGCGCCGAAGAATTTCTCGAAGCTCAGCTCAGACCACACTGCGCATCCGGGCGGGCACGGGCGTTGGCAATGGGCAATGGGCAATGGGTCAGGCTGCTGCTCGCACCCATGGTGGGCTCCAGTGATGAGATCATTGGCATTGCATGGCCTGTGGTGTACATGTGTACACCACACATCCCACCACCCGCTGACATACTGTGCCATCGCATACGACGCATCTTGTGCGCTGCTGCAACCGGCCCGCCACCAACCTCCAAAAAAAAGGGCGGTGTATGGGCCTGTATGGCCCTCGAGAGCCTGTAGAGCCCGCGACAGCCCGCCAGCGCCCGTCCGCCCTCGAGCCCTCGCTGCGACACTGCACGCCGGCCGGTCACGCGGCGACGCGCATCAGACCTGCGTCGCTCATTCAGTTGCGATTCTATGCACATTGCTACATACTACTCTACCTACATGACGACGATCCCGGTTGCCGTCAGCACTCCAACTGCAAACGCACGAGTCGCGCCGCTCGATTGGCCGACGACGACGACGACGCAGCGCGTTTCGTACCCCTCAGATCGCGGCCTGGCACCCTGCCTGCGCCGCCTTCATTTGCTGCCCCAGCTACCCATCGCACCCACATCCCTGCTCCCTCAGCCTGTCCTTTGGCCATGCCATCTCCGACTTACTTTGTCCTGACTTACTCTAGAGCCCTATTAGCTGGATGTATCTACATGGTACAATCCGTCATTGCCCCTCCGCCGCCATCAAACCAGCCCTGGCATTTGCTCCCAGTTTTGCAAACCCCCACCGTCAGCTGACCCCCTCGCCCGCACCTCGTGTGCGTTGGACAACGCTTTGTACATACATACACGCTCACACGTATCGTCCTCTAAACTGCGTCCGTACATACGTACATCATAGATGCCCATTGCCATGCCTTGACTTGCCTTGCCTTGCTTTGCCTTGCCTTGCCTTGCCTTTTGCCCATGCTGCCACCTTGTCTGGTGGGCCCCCCACCCTTAGCCTCATGCCAGCCAGTCTGCTAGCCAGCCAGCCAACTAGCCAGCCAGCCAGCCAGCCAACCAGCCAGCCAACCAGCCAGCCGTCGCAGCCCGTCGAGCGATGCTTTGCTTGTGCTGGCCGGGGCACCACAAGCCAGAGGTGTCAAAGTATAACGGCTGTTTCGACGCAGCCAGTGTGGGCCGTGGCCCAAGCGGCCATGGCGGTGTGGATATCTAAGGCTGGCCTGCAGATTTCCACGCGAGGACAGGGTTTAGCCGTCTAGCACATGGAGACGCCTGAGACAGCCACCGCCTTTTTTAGCCCTGCTCGACGCATGCCCCTGGCCCTCTGATTGTCCTGCTGGAATCCTCCGAACATGGCGCCATGCTCTTTTGCTCCTAGGTTGCTGCTCGACCTCACCATGCAGCAACGTCCGAGACTTGTCAACGGCACAGCTCACGAGTCTACTTGGGTCTGCGAGGTTTCAGAGGGTTGGGGTTTGCTTAGTTCACGCGCTTGTCGGCTGCAATATGATTCACTACACAGGCTGCACACGTACTTGCTGTCCAGTCTACATCCACTCACCGACAGCCTCGACTCCGACAGCCTGGGTCGATCAGAATTGGCCCTGCTCCTCCCCTCCCTCATCGTGTTGCCCACGACGTCGCCTCCATTTTGGGCGCCACGACGCCTCCTTCTTCCTGCCATGTATAGTAAGTCCTACATGTACTTACTCCACACCCATCCGGGGTCTTTCGCTGGCCTTGCTTGGCGCCCATTGTGATACAGTCACCGTAAGGCTACCCTTGACGCCCTGACTGGAGCCAGCACATTTTGACTTCAACGTCGCACGACAGCAACCTCGTCCACACGACGATGCACTCTCGCGCCTAAACTCCATGCTCAACCCTAAGCCGAGCCCTTTCTCCTTAACTCCATGTCTGCACACGCGCGGGCTCGGCACTCACAGGGCGGCTCCGGTAGCTTGACGCCCCGGGTTGCCAGTTTCTGGCAATGGCGTGCCACACTACATACGTGCCCGTGTCGCCGCAACGGCGCCCTGGCCCGTCAATAATGCAACGGTCCAAATGCAGTTACGACGCCCTCTGTCCCATTGTGCCTGTACATATCGTTTTAGCATTGGCTTCTCGCCTTCTCGCCCTCACACTCGGTCCGGTGCATGTTGTCCGGCACAGATCCTTCGGCCTCAATCCTTTCCCCCCCCCCCCCGGGCGCACTTCACACCGCGTCCCGAGTTAAAAATGTCTGACAGAGATGAACGATGACGATCAGGCGGGGGACCGGCACTATCGGGAAATCAAGGCCGGTACTTGTAATATTACCATAATCGGCGCCTCACCCCCCCCATGCCCCTTCCTCAAATGACCTGGTCAACTCTTGAACATCACCACTACTAATCTGCCACGTCGGCGCACCGCCCCGAACGCCGTCATAATTGCTGTTGTGCGCCCGCTTCATTTGCCTTGCCGGTGAGAAAATACATCACAAGGTATACACACTCGTGTCGCACTTAAAACCAGTTGCAAATAAGGCCGAAGTGCACGATAAGGGGGCCAAGCACATAATCGTGTAAAATCAGCTAGTGCTCACGCTAGTGCCAGCGCCAAGCGCCCATCCACCGTGCTTCGAGGGCATGCCGAACCACTGTACATATACTACCATAGTCACTGTTGGTCAAAACATGCCGTTGTCAGGCTCTGCATCGGCTTTGCCGTCCTTTCGGAAACAGCATCTCCTCGTCGAGTTGTACGTCGTAGGCTACACACACTCTCATACGCCTCACACAGCCTGCTAGCGCAAGCCTAACATTCGCATAGCTCGCGCCTTCGCTATGCCCAACTTGATGGCGTTTTCCTGAGCATCACGCCTGGCGACCCATCACTGTGGGTCGGTGTGATCTTCGTGCGAAAAGGTAGGGTGTTCCATAGGGCTAAGCGACTCCCCTGGTGCTTCTCGCCCATCTAGATTGCCCCCTTGTTCACCTCTTGATAGGACCATATGCGCCTGCAGTCTTACGCTTCCAAATCTCCTTCCCACCAAGCTATCCTGCCATACCCCCCCTCGTGACCTTTTCCACCGATGTCTTTCACCCCTTGCTCACGCCGCTTACCACGTACACGTACACGACTGGATCTGCTGAGTCGGATACCGTAAGTGCCACGGATGAAGAGCGCTTGCCACCGGGTGGATTCAGTCTGCGACACGGCTTCCCACACTGGTTTGGACGAACTCGATCCTCTATGCCCGATTCTCGTCACCCCAGTGGCTCTGCCTTGGCCAGTCCCGCACGTTCCGAGTTTAATGTCACCTCGGGTGCTCCTGGTGCGGCCCGCTCGACAGAGGAAATATCCATTGTGCGCATGATAGAGTACATACGTTCCACCTTCAGTGATGAGTCAATCTTGGACTCGCTTCCGCTCGATGCCGCTGCCAATCCAGGAGCCTATCACGCGTGGCGGGCCCATCGTGCTCCTCTTCTGCGAGCTCAGCAATCTCTACCCACGGAGCCTAGCCCAGAGCTGCCGGTAACTGACAAGTCAGAAAGTAGCAATGCGCTAGGCCCAAACCGGCGCCCTGGAGAATGGAATTGGGAGGGCGTATGGGAGGAGCGTGTGAGAAAAGCAGTCAAAGCTAGTCTCTCTGAGCCTGTACTTTTTGGCACAGGCGCTGGAGAAGACATTGTAAGCTCTCGAAGTCCACATATGCAAGGCAAGATGACTAACCGTTTCTTTTTTTAGATTCGCTTCCGTGAGACAGACGAGGAAATGCAGGAGAAAATGAAGATGCACCTAGAGATGGCTGCCGCTCGTACTGCTGAAGTATAATGTGCACATGCTACATTGGCAAGAGCTACCCTGACGCCTCTACAATGGGCAGGAGCTCGTTGTCGATGGACACTCAAGGACAAATGCTGTTGCTACATGGCAAGAGCGATGTTCTTGTTGATATGGCCCCCATTGTCATACCTTCTCTAAACGATAGCTAGTCCCCTCCTTTAGTTTCTACATCCGCCTCATATCTATGACCTTGTGTGCAAACCTTACATCTCAACCAGTGCACTAGTTACTCTTCTTAACCATCTTCATTTGTAAAGCAACGAGTTTTGGCTTTGGACTTGGACCACGCAACACTCACAGCAGTTCACGGTGAGTGAGAGTGAGCTGCGTGAGATGAGGTGACTGGACCTCCGTTTGTCAACACTGGCCCACTCAAGATGATTGCGACAACAAGCGGCAGCGTCCTGCCTCCCCATGATCACCTCTGTCCCTCCCCGCTACACATTCACAAAAAGCAGCGCAAAGCGACATTTCGCCGACGCATATTCCGTAAGTCCACCCACAGTGACATTAGCGATCAGTACGTCTTCGGGCCACTAGACGATATCATCGACGAGATCAAGAGCGATATTTAGGAGCTGCCGCTCAATGATAGCGTCAACCTGTCTGTCCTTGACTGGGCGTGTCCAGTCAAAGCACCACCGCCGTGCACCACGCTACCTCTGTCCATCAGCCGTACTCCAAGCCATCATCCTCTGACGATACCGAAGAACAGGAACAGTCGCTCATCAGCTTCAAGCTCGAGTTTTGGGGGTCCAATGACGCATTCGCGCAACAGCAGTCAAGCTAAGGATGTCAATAGCGCCTCAGGGCTTTTTCCACACACCATGGGTTCCATGCCTTGGCCTTTGCTCGATGGGCCCTTGTCTGAATCTACACATGCGCCAAGGGTACTAGGTCCCGCCAAGGGTCCTGAGGGTGTGAGCGCTCAACAGGCTCTAGAAGGCATGATCCATAACGAACAAGTTCGTAACGAACTGCCAAAGCGGCCCAAGTCGAATAAGTTGCGGCTCTTTACGAATGGTTTTCCTCTCTTGCGCCGTCAAGGAATTAGGGATGCGAGTGTCAGCACTAGAACTGTGTCTGACACAGTCTCATCGCCCGTCAAAACAATATCTACAACCCACGATGAGGACAAGGAAAGGTCATTTGCACAAGGCGTGAATGAAAGCGCCATCATGGCTTATTTGGCAAGGAATGCTCGCAAGTATGTCAATCCCGTCCTGCTACGCGAAAAAAAAATACTAAGATTATTTAGTGGGGAAAAGATCAAGTCTATCATGGATCTCTTCACGAAGCACATGCCCCCGCCCACAGACTACGAGCGAGAGGTGGCTGATGCGTATGTTCCGGACTCGCCTCTCGCGCTACCGACTACTCTACGAGCGGCGATTAGACTGTTCCCGGATGCCAAGATGCTTACAGAGGACGTGCAGGAGGTTACCGTCGCAATCGATATTGAGGGAACTCTGCACAATCAAAGATCTCTTTCTGAAACCGCGATAGACGTGGTCTTTGTGGTAGACAACGGGCAAGTGCAAATACATCGGTCTCCAAGATGTAAATTAACGCAAGACATAGGTACTATGTGACCCAGGCCTGTCTGGAAAAGTCCCTAGAAGCAGTCAAGGGAGCTCTGGTAGGCTGCATTGGCGAAAAAAAAGTAAACTAGCTAGCTTTCCCGTACTTACTTTTTATAGTATCACCTCGGCTCCGAGGACCGGTTGGCGCTGTATACCACACATTGCACTCACCGGAAAGTGACCGGAAATCGACCTGACATGCTGTATCCGATACGACGATTCAGCAAAGATACGGAATCAATGATTCGAGAACTTACAGCTACGATTTTACGGTCCGGTACCCAAGTCTGGGATCCGCCTCGGCCAAACCCATCTATGGTCGATGTCATCCTTGGTATAGCTAGGTCACTTGAGGTTGAACGTCTCAAGGCTGGCCGTACCCATATTATTGTACTATCGCCCGCAGCCCATGTACTTCACGATGTATCAAAGTACTTTGCAGATCTCCATCTCCATAGAATCAACCCGGCCATACTTCCGTATCGTTGCCAGCCGGAGTTTCAAGATACGATCTGCACTGATACCTGCTGTAATAACGTATTTGCGAGCAACTGGTCCAAGTATCAGTCGACTCGTAGTCGCATCAAGCGCATCTTACGAAATGCGCGATGCGACAAGCCTGTAGGAGAGCTGGCTGACTTGAGCGTCGATGTCCGGGCCAGAACAGGCTGCGAGCTTATCGAGTTTTACGGGAATAAGGAGGTTCCTCAGCTATACCTGGGAGAAGTGCACACGCTATTCGTCAAAGTACGCGTCACCAAGGAGGAGGCCCGGAGCATCAATCTGGACTCTGATAACCCCATTCTCAACTCGAACCTGAATGCCAATGGCTTGAGACAGGAGCTATTGAATTCTGTCCATGTAGGTGCGACCAGGCTACACCTTTTCGACGTGCAGGTATTGTATCGCAACTCCATACATGAATTGCGAACCTGGAACTACACTGAGAGCCCTTTGATCCTCATAAGCGAGATGGGCGGTCTAGCCCCACCTCGGGATCTATCCCTGGAGGTTTACAGGCGCCAATACTTCTACCACATCACCCAGGTCCCACCTGACGAAGCCAAGGCTGTGGCTGAGAGTATTCTTGATGCACTGGCCGAGAACAACGAACAAGCCAAGGAGCTGGTTGAGTGTATGATTGAGGAACTGCGGTGGCATTTGGCGATTCGCGAGTACGAGCAACAATGCCGGCAAAGGCTTCCGCTGTGCCCTGGCCCTATTGAAATTGAAACACCCCACCAGTGGCTGATGGAGTTGTGGAACCACCGGAAGAACAGGTGCGGCTGCATCGACGCCTCTGACCGTCTATGAGGAAGGGGGTATGCGCAGGTGAGTGACGGGATGAAGATTACTGAACAAGAGCTCTGGAAGCATGGCATAGCAGCTGGTGCATTTGTTCTTTTCTTTTCGTTTTCTTTTGCCCAAATTAGCGGTCGGATTCGCATTATGATGAGGATGACAGGAGCTGATGGCAAGAGCGAATGCAACCACAGGGCGGAGTAGGGAGTCCTTGCTCTGCTTCGACCGTTGAGGGATCCATAATTGGGAAGGAGTTCAAACGCGGGAGTATGATGTTCCACAACGGCCTTTTGGATGACAAGCCAGGCTGCCAGGTTCTAGACCAATCAGCGACAGAAAGGGCGAGAGTCCCCACAGTCATAAGCACAGATAGTGGGTTTACCACAGTCACGGTCCCCAGATTTTATGGCGGTATATTAGCATGTTCAATAACTATACCTAGGTCATAGCATGCATACATAGATGAAAAAAGGAAAAGAGCGGACCAGTTCTCACATCGAACGACCCCTGGTGCATAGGCGTGCATGCTCGTACGTGCATATGCAAGATGAGATCTCATCGAACCCATGCCCGTGCAGTCACATTGAAGATTGCGGAGCACTTGCTCGATGACGTCCTGTACTCTTTGCTTTTTCGTCTCGGAACTTCTTACTTTCTGGGCCTCACACCGCCCGTGCAGCCACAGCGTGCCTTCCGGATGATGCCGGCTGAGGAACCACCCCCCTTTCTTTTTCGACCGGCACACAAATGCACGCACACGGACTCGTCCAGGCCCGCACGCGAAAAGAAGGCAGAGAAAAAGGAAAAGCACGGAGGTGGGATGATTGGGCTTCGAGATGAGGCTGTGCGGCGGCGACTAGCGTGCATACCGGACCTGACTCCGCGCCCGCCACGCGACGGACGTGGGGCACGTTTTTTTTCCCCTTCCCTTCCCCCCTACCTTTCCCAAAGCGAAAGTATGGTACCCAGAAAAGAAAACCGGCCCGGTAAAAAAAAAAAAAAAGTAGTTCGAGAAGGAAGAGAGGGGCCTGTGCCAGCCCAGCCCCAGCTCTGTTGCAACCATGCCGTGTATGCAAGGTAGCTGCACGAAGAGAGAAGTAGGCGAACAAAAGCAAAAACAGATGCAAAAGAAAAATAGAAACTGCTACCCGTGGTTTTCCTTGCTTCAACTCCCTGTTTCTTTGCTTTTCTTTTCGCTCGCGATCTCCAAGGCAAGCGCTTTTTTTGGTTACATTGCGTCTTGTACTTTTTGCCACTGGGAGAGGGAGGGCAGGGGAGAGTTAGGATGTGTGCGTGTAATGTAGGTGTAATGGGTCGTCGTCGGGGCTGAAGGGACGGATGGGTAAGCGCAATCCCCCTCCCCCCCCCTCTCCCCTCCCCTCTTCCAAGGCTGACCTTGCTACCACGTTTTTGCATAACTGTAGTCAAACCGGCGGGGGGGGAGGAGGTCTTTTTTCTTTTTTTAAATCTTCGATTCCTTCGATTATCGGCTTCTCTATCTCCGCCTTTTTGTAAGGATTCATCGCATGCACACAATGCATATGCGCGTAATAACCGACTTCAACACACTCTTACCATTTTTTCTAATCTCTTTTTCTTTTCTTTTTCTTCCCTCACCCACCCTCATGTCCTCTTTCCCTGCATCCCAAGGGTCATAGTCAAAAAAATTCCCTCTGCATCCCTTCTTCTTTGCTTTTTACTCATGTCCTCCATGGTCCTTGCGATCTTTCCCTTTGCTCGTTCCACGGGTAAGTTCGAAAAAATGTGATTTCGGGGTTTCCTGTTGTCCCTGTACACATACAGACACACACACACTCGCTCTCTCTCTTCTCTTGTTTGCTTTTTTTCTACTGCCCGAATTACGCAGGGTCACACGACAGAAAAAAAAGGATCATGAGCACGTCATGGGGTAGAAGCTACGACGAAGTGTTCCCTTGTGTGACAACGTTCCATGTACATTCGCATGGAACTCGTTCTGCACACGACCATTTTTTCCTCTTTCCCCTCTTTCTCCTCGTCTAAGTATCCTTTGGTCTCCCCCCGTTCAGCCCTTCCTCTTCTTTTTCGCTTACCCACTCTACCATCCTTTTTTTACTTTTTATGCAAATGGGGGGGGGGCTTTGTGCGCGCCGAAGTTTAGGCGGGGCAGATGCAAGCGGAGCGAAGGAGGCGGAGGTGAGTGTGGGAGCGACGGAGAGAGATAGAGGTCTGTGCACTACTACACACACCCACATATTGTATACGACGCTACAATACCCGGTAAAGGTAACTCGGTACTCTGAGCCGACTCCTCTCGCGCTTTCTTCCTTCCTCGTTTGCTTGCTTGCTTTTTTTTGATATATGTATGTGTGCTCCACTGCAGTTTCAATGATGTTGGTGGTGGGAGAGAGGGGAGGTGTGCGTGCAAGGGTTCTTTTGAGGGAAGGAGAGGGTGTGCAGGCATGATGCATGGGGCAGCGGAACTCTCCGTTTGGGTCTTGCGGGAGATCTAGACTCCAGGTAGGCGAGTAAGCGGGGGAGAGTGTAGAGGTGTGGTGGTGGTGGTGGTGGAGGGTAGGGTGAGGGTTGTTGGGTGAGGCTGAGGAAGTAGGAAGTCACGAGATGTGGGGGTGAGAGGAGTGGTGACACGTGGGTGAATAGAGAGTATATTTTCAGCTCTGTTTTTTTTTTGAAAGATAGGTACGCACATGATAGGGTTTGGTTTCAAGGGCATGTTGCTATTATCGCTCAGGTTGTTGTCATGTATTGGAGTTTTGTAAAGCCAGACTACACTCTAGTAATACGTGAAGCATTACACACACACACACACACACCTTTATCCAAGCACCCAACGTCTTGTTTGTTACAAACCCTCATATTTCCTATCCAACCTGTTCAATTGAAATGCGTATCCCCCCACCCTACTATATCCATCCAGTGACTTTGTTGACGTTGCACACGATTTACAAGCATGTCAATACCACTCATCTTCCTCCCGTTTCAATACCACCATACACTCATGATAATTCACCACAAAAACCCTTAAGTGAAAATAATAATAACTATGATATTGAAGCCCCCTTGCTTTATAGATGCCTATACTACACCATCCATGTCCCATGTCCATCTACAAAGTTTGAAATAAAGAAGAAGAAGAAGAAGACGAAGAAGAAGAAGAAGAAGAAGAAGAAGAAGAAGAAGAAGAAGAAGAAGAAGAAGAAGAAGAAGAAGAAGAAGAAGAAGAAGAGAAAAAGGATTCTTTGCAATAGAGCAAAGAACTAGTCTAAACGGAGAAAATTTTAAATGTACAAGATTGAGCCGCCGTCTACCTTCCCCCTCCCCCCGTTTCCCCCAGCGGCAACCCTCCTGCCTCCCTTATCTCTCACTATCCCGCACCAAGGAAGCGGTAGGTCCGTGGTGAAACTACTAGCGGAGACATAACCATATACTCAGCGGAACCGCGAATCATGTTAATCGGACGTTTGTGCCGGCGTAGCGGCGTAGGGAAGTCCGTGAACGACACCTCCTCCCCACCATCTACACCAGTATTATGTATTGATGAAGACAGCGAAGACGGCGGTGTCTGGGTCGTCTCCGCAGACACTGTAGTTTTCTCAGATGAAGTATTCGGGGATGAAGTGTAGGAGAAGACGGTGGGGAGGAAGTGGTGGTGGTGGTACGGCGATGGGTTTGCGTATAGCGTGATTGAGTCTGGGGTTTCTGATCGGATGGCGAGGGGGAGAGGGAGGTCGTGAGTTGATGTCCGATTCCGTCTCGAGTGTTGTGGAAGGGGTGTGTAGGATTTTGATGAGGGATTCAGACAGTTGAGGCGTCGTAGGGAGCGTTGGCTCTTCACGCTGTTTCGAGCGGATATCGCGGGACTGCGGCGGAGACTGCATTCGGTTGGGAGGGGGCTTAGTGTTGGGGATGGGATGATGTGGTCGTCTAGGGTACAACGGGTGCTTGGGAGTGGGGGAAGAGGCTTCTGGGGGCCTTTGCTGTAGCCTGTTACTGCGGCAGCGAGAGCAGATGCGGTGTCGGTTGGTGTGCTGATGACGCGGCTGCTTCGCCAGTCTAGGAAGGGGTCGTTGGGGTCTGTGAAGGGGTTGCCGGGATCACTGTAGCGTACGGTGTCGGCGTTGTAGACGTGGCAGTATTCATCGTCTAGAGAGTTGTGGGGGGCACGAGGTAGTGTTCTGCTTCTGTTTGATGCGGATGGCCTGATGACTGCATCTCTAGACATGAGAGCCGAGGCCTCGTCTCCACCTCTGTCACTTCCAGAATGGTCGGGAAAAGGGTCGTACAAGTAGGCCGTTTCTGGGTATGGCCCGGATTCATCGTTGTTGTGTTTCAATGCATGATAGCGACGGATGATAAAGACTGCAGCGACGATTGCCAGGAGAACTCCAGCTGTGCTGCCAACCACTACGCCGGCAGTCTCAGACGGCTTCAGTGAGGGCGGAGCTTCTGCAGCCTCTGTCTCAGTGGGGCTACCCGTAGGAGGAAGCGCTGTGCTTTGGTCCTTCATGGTCTCCCTAATACCGTCTGTTCCCGATATCGTTTGCGATGGTAGCTTGAAATTTTGTGTCTTCGTCTTGGTCACGAAGCTGCTAGGTATCATAGAGGTGGAGGGAACCGCTGATCTGCTGATGGACGAGAGACGTAAACTAGATATCCTACTCATATGCGAGCTACGGGTAGTACTTGTGCTGGAGCTACTTTCCATCCTGGTTGGAAAGATTGATTCAGTAAAAGTGTGACTTCTTTGAATAGTACTTGATGCAGAAGTGTTTCTCCAGCTGGTCAAAGCTAAAGATATGATCGGAAATGGGAGAGGAGCAACTGAAGAAGTAGCATCTCTTCCTAGAGTGGTCGCTGGTTGCACCGAGGAGATAATTTTTGATGACAATTCTCCGGCTGATGTCTCTGTAACAGTTGTAGACGTTGCAGATTGAGTAGGTATGGATATTGGAGAAGTACGCGAGAAGGATTCTGAGAGAGATGAAGACTGTAAACTCGTCCGCGTCGTCTGAATATATGTACTGCTTCTGGTTCTGCTCGCGAGGCTTCGTGTGCTAAAAATAAAGGTAGAGGAAATTTCTGACAGGGAAAGGGTATTGCTTCCTGGAAATGGAATAGTGGTTGGACTTGAAATATCCGAAGCGACTGATCGTGATGGTACAGCCAGGCTTGTAATGGGAATGGAACCAGAAAAGTTACCGTTAGACAACAAGTTAGAAGATACTGAGGTTGTAGGTCTCGCTGGTAGGATAGAACTTGTCGGGGCAATGGTTTGGGAGTTGAGCCGAGTGAAGACGAGCGATATCCAATCAATATTAACCACGCTAGTCTCGGAACTGATAGCAGAAGGAAGAGACACAGTTGATGTACTTTGGAGTACGGCAGTTGGCAACGGAAAGAGATTTCTCGAGGTCTCTGAAGAAAGTGAAGCTGTTTCGTGAGGAATGGTGATGGTCGGCGCGCTTGCTGTTGCTGTAGCAAATGAGCTGCTTCTATCGTTATTGGTGTCAATTTTGGAAGATACCGGGGACAGCCAGTTGACCAAATCAGACACTGTATGTAACGGAAGCCTCGTGGTACTCCTCAAAGAGGCAGGAAGCGTTGGTGGTGTTGAGCTAAGAGTTGGAGATGTACAAATAGTTGTAGCACTAGCGACTGTAACATTTACTGCGCGACTCGAACTTGAAGTGTGAGAAAGACTACCCCATGCTATAAGGAATAGGTCGGTCGTAGTTGCTGGCAATTGAGTGCTTGACGATCGTACCTCAGAAAAAGCCGAGGACATGTATTCAACTTCCGGTACAGGCGATGGAATGACAGTGGGTATCGAAGTGGTTAAAAGTATGTTCGCTTCTTTCGTGACGCTTTGTAATATGGTCCCTGAACTGTATGGGGGAAATGATGTTGAAGGCGCGTTGCTGCTTGTTCTAGATGGTATACTCGGTATTGATTCTGAGGGCGAGGGCGTAGAAGGAAAATTATGTTCCCGGGATGTTGACGTCGAAGAAGACTTTGTCTCAGTTGACGTAAAGACGACGGAGTCAATGTATGTTGCCGACATGCGTGAAGTATCATTCGATGTCTCCGACACCCTGGTATTATTATAGAAGGCCAGTACTTGACGCGGCATTACGGGGAATCTTCTGTTCGCATCGTGTGTTTCTGAAGATTCTGCATCTATCGAATATGTAAGTACCAACCACTTCCATAGTCCACACGTCTCCATCCCACTTACTTTGTCTATCCTCCACCGCCCCATTACTCCCCACAATCAACGACGCAGTACAGACAGCGACCAAACCTTCTATTAACCAACCCATCGCATATCCGCACTCAAAATCGAACCAAAAAGATGAAACGACATAGGCTGGGAAGAAAAAAACGCAAGGCAAATCACCCACATTGAACGCGATCGAATTGCATAACACAAACCAAGAATTTCGCGGCAAAAACGATGAAACCGGACAACAAAGAAACTACATATGATTATTCACCCGACCCAAAGGTCGTTGGTTCTAAGGCCCTGATGGAGCGCACTTTCGTTATTATTGGAGCACTTTGTTCGGGGGGCCGAAACAGGGTAAGCGTGGAGTAAGGCCTTTGGGGCTGAGTCGCCAGTACAAGGTGCATACAACAAGTCCGAGAATAACACAGCGCCACCTAGTACTAACATTAGCGCATGATGTGGCTGTAGCTAAAAAGAGTGCATGAAAGATTTTGGAGGCTTTGTTTTTGAAATCATGATGCGATAAATATGTGTTCGCGTTGGGGCATGATATTAGAACTCGGTTAGCGAGATTACCTTGTAGGTACCTGGGTTTGTTTGTTGGTTATTAGGCCAGCTGCAAAAACCTTGACATTGTCTATTGAGTTGGCCGAGTCAAGCTGCTGCACGAAATACAAATTGCACCAGCCAGACTGAATCTCGCCTGCTAGAAACAAGCTTGAAGATCAACAAAAGAGATATAACGCAGTAATGCGATACCTACGAACTCTCGAGATTGAAGTATCGTATTTCTGTTTGAACATATCCCTTTTCAACTCCATATCCAGCCCCATGCGTTTATGTCTGTTGCACCCGCTGGGTACCGTCCAAATTTATCCCTGTCAGACCTAAAAGACTTCTAATGCACCTACCCTTTCCCTGTTGAGCCACTGCCGGTAACAATATAGGCCTGGCTATCACGGACACTCTCTTGTAGCCAAGTAGGTAGAGCGCGGAGTCTGGACACGAATCGCGGACCAAGACATATCTGCCCGCTCTTCGCGGCGACGATCTGTTTGACCATGATATCGGCGACATAGTCTGCTTCCAATAGTTGGCCACCCTGGTTCTTCAATCCACTTGCAAGGGCCGAGTGCGCTGTTATGGCTGACTTTGTCCAGTGAGGGTGGATGATGGAAGTCAGAATTTCAGGGCAGTTGTACCGATGCTTCAACTCTAGCGTAAGTCCCTCATGGAACGCTAGGATAGCGGCTTTGGCACAGCTGTAATCGACGGCACCGGCTACGGTGACAAAGGAAGCGAGACTTGCGACAGTCATTACGTGGCCTTTCTTCTTCTTAAGCATGTCTGGCAGAAATTCTTGCACAGTGATCCAATGACTCATTACGTTGATGTTGAACATGCTCTGGAGACGGGTGTAGGGGATATCGAGAATATTCCACGCGTTCCCGATGCCAGCATTGTTGACCAGAATGGACGGATGACCAAGGTCGGAGCGTAGAGCCTCCGCAGCCTGGTGGATGTTCTCTTGCGAAGTGACGTCACACCTGTAAAACCGAATAAGAGCGAGCTCCTCTGGTTCCTTGTTAGTTGGGAAGGTGTTAGATCTGAGCTGCGACTAACCTTTAGTAAAGACATCTGACAGGGGGCTAACGTCCAGAACTGCGACCCTGATACCATGGGAAACGAGCTTCTTTACAACACAGGCGCCAATGCCTGCTGAGCCTCCAGTCACAACAGCTACTTCGCGCTTCCAGTCCCAGACGCTTTTGTCGGTGGAAAAACGCCATCGCCTGTCGGCCCAGCGGTTTAATGTCCAGTTCACTTCGAGAAGAGCCCACACGGAGAGCGCCCATTTAAGAAACCAGTGAAGGGTTGCGGCAAGGGTGCTAGAAAGACCGAGCTTAATGCCAAATTCTGACCACACTGGGTTGCTGGTATGGAGCATAGCCGCCCCCAGGGCGAGCAAGGCACACTGGATCATAGTGGGGGCGGGGCGGATATGCTGTTGGCGAAAGAGGTGGAGTCCGGAGTTTGCAGAATTGTGCAAGTCCTGATACTTCAAGCCAAACACTGATTCAATTGCAAACAAGAGGAGATATTGTTGCGGTTTTGAACACGTAGAGAAAGAGGAAATGTACTGCGAACCCGCTTATGTGTACCTCTAGGTAGTTGTGGATACGAAGATATTGGGACCGGCGGGTCTGTTTCCGAACTAGGTATTGGGATAAGCCACTCACAGATAGATCATATCCATTAGAGACAGACACACAACCGTCGTGTACAGGCCGTAGGCAATGAAGTCGTAACGTTCAAGTCACAGGAACATGGAGACAAGATGAAGAAGATGCCAAGGAATTAGTTGCGCGCAAGCGTCGTCGATCACCGGGCCGCGATTGGCTAGCTCGGCGGTGCGATGATGTACGTAGTTGAGAAATCTATGGCATGAGATATCACAACGCATTTACGCCCCTAACTGTGCCCTCGACGCATGTCTTTCGCTCGAACCAGCTACTTGAGCGGTACGCTGACGCCGTTTCTATACCCCACCGTGTCTCAGGCGCAACTTGGCCTACTTGCACGCAGGTGGCTACTTCGCAAACCATGTCTGCCGCAGCGAAGATGCAACTCGATATCTGATACTTCTCGACTGGACCCCACGCCCGACGACTACTCGCTCACGCCTTTTGCCGACCGCTGCATCCTTACAGTCGAGGCTGGCGGGGGCGGACACGGATGTGTATCTTTTCTGCGCGAAAAGTACATTGAAGAAGGGCCTGCCAACGGCGGCGATGGCGGCAGCGGAGGCAATGTGTACATCCAAGCCGTTCGCGGCGAGACGTCCCTGCACAAGCTGGCCCGGCGACGGTTAATCAAGGCTGGAAGAGGGCGCAATGGCCAAGGCAAAGTCAAGGGCGGCGAGCGGGGCACAGACGTTCTGATTACTGTCCCTGTAGGAACCATTGTGCGCGAGCTGCAGAGGCATGACCCTGTTGCTATCATGGAGGAAGAGCATTGGAAGATGGAGCAGAACCCGGAAGAGGAAGATGTTGAACAGGGCGAGCCTAGCTATAGGAGAGATAGGTGGCTTGTATATCCTGGCACCATAGCCTCGGAGTTGAGCAGGATCAAGTTTCCCAAGCTCCCTCCGCCACGTAGATCTCACCTTGCCGCTCTCGAGCCTGAGGCGCCTTTGTGGCTGGATTTAGACAAGCACATGGAGACGCCAATGTTGATAGCAGCGGGCGCCATGGGTGGTCTGGGCAATCCGCACTTTATGACGCCCTTCAACTCGCGCCCCAAGATGGCCACGCGAGGTGACGAAGGGTTGAAGTTGTCCCTCCAGCTCGAACTCAAGATCCTCGCGGATCTGGGTCTCGTGGGACTACCCAATGCAGGCAAGAGCACGCTGTTGCGGTCTTTGAGCAATAGCCGTGCGCGAGTTGGTAACTGGGCCTTTACAACTCTCCAACCAAATGTCGGCACAGTTGTGCTGGACAACCATAAGGGCCGTCCACTCGTCAAGTCACGTAGGCCAGATGGCCAACTGCGAGAAAATTTTACCATTGCTGATGTGCCCGGACTTATCGAGGACGCCCACTTAGACAAAGGACTTGGACTGGGCTTCCTGCGCCACATTGAACGCGCTGCAGTCCTCGCCTTTGTCATCGACCTCTCCGCCGGCGACGCAGTCCAAGCGCTGCAGCTCCTCTGGCGCGAAGTCTCCGAGTACGAGACCCTCCGCGGCAAGGAGCTCAATGCAGAAACAGAACGCAGAATGGTCACTTACATGCCTGCCGGTAGCAGCAGCCCCCCTCCCAGCGACACTTCCGACCTCATCGACTCGCCGCAGCTGGACCCGTCTCCCAAACCGCTCCCATTCATTACTACGACTCCGATTTCTTCCAAACCGTGGTTCGTTGTCGCGACAAAAGCGGACTTGCCAGATACGCAGGCGAATTTTGAGTCGCTACTTCAGTATTTGGATGGAGTGACCAAGGGGGCCTTGCCCCACCCGAGCCATCGCCAGCATGCGTGGAAGCGCAATGTTCAAGCTGTGCCGATTAGTGCGATCAAAGGAGAAGGTGTACAGGTTATTCCACAGTTGGTTATGGATTTGTTGGATGAGTAGATGTACGGAATGATACCCTTTTCTCCTCTCATTCTTCCGTGAAGTGATTATTGCTATTGTTATTCCCGTCGTCCACGTATGGAGCTGCAATGGCCTACTACCTAGATTCGATGGCGCACGTCGTATTGATTGCTAGAGAGATGTGAGGGCAACTATTGTCCATTTGTAAGGCTCACATCAAGACAGTATTCACAAAAGAAAGACACTATGAAAATATACCACAAAAATCAGAAGCGTAGACTCAGAAGTAGTAATAGTTCTCTGTATTGAATATTCCAAACCGGATACAAACACACCAAATCTCAGGAGGGATTCTCCTAACCCGTCTATGACACCACTCGCTCGAACCATGAGTCGATGGAAGAATGGCTTGCCATCTTCTAACTCGAACCAGAGGATCCATCTCTCATACCGTTCTCCCCAGCCCCGTTTCTCCTGTAAAAACGGGGCTGGATTGCGTGGGCCCCGTCCTCCATACAACGGGGTTGGATTGCGTGCCCGACTGTCCAGTTTGCTGTCGTTTTTCTCGGCAGGAACTATCACTTTCTCCCCGCTCGATGATACTCAGATGAGTAGTCGAAATCCTTGTATCACCCTGTATAACGGGGAAGGACTACAGTGCGCAGTCGCGGTTATAGTCGAAACCACCATATTTCTGCTGAGGAGGAAACCAATGTTGTTAAATTGTTGGAACTGACGGTGTCTCAAAGAGGCTGCTCTTTGCCATGTGCAGTGGCCTCACCCGCCTGTTGTTAGAGGTAGAGTCGCTCTCGTTGCTATATCACCTGGGGATACCGGAGAAGGAATTGTGAGGTTGCTCGGAGGCACAGAGGAGTCCTCATATCACCCGGAGACAGCTGGAATGAGTCAAGAGTGGCTAAGCTTCCGGATCGAAGCCCCCAGGTTCTCGTCGCTTGGGTCGTTGTCATCGTCGTCACATCACCCGGGGATGGCGGCTGGGATTCCAGAACTCCTATACATCACCTGGCGAACCGGGGAAGAGTTTGGAATACATCTGCTGCGAATGTTAGAACGGTATTGGAATAGGGAGTGGGGGAAGTCATACTATAAGCTCGTAGCCATGAATTGCATGTCATTTGCCGCGAGGGGTCTAGGAGGTTGCCGAGCTTCTCAAAGTGGACATGTCGCGGGATGGCAAGAAAGAGATCAGGGGTGATCTGAGACATGTCCCCGTATGGTTTGGGGGTATATGAGAAGGATGTGGGTGCCTGGAATCTCCCAAAATCCTGTATATCACCCGGATAGACCGGGGAAAGACTCCAGAGAGTGGTGCGCAGAGCCGTGATGCTGCATTGTCTCCAGGAGACACCTCTAAACTCCTATATATCACCCGGATGTACCAGGGAAGAGTATGAAAGGGTTTCTGTCAAGTGTGTTAGATTATTGTAGTCAAAAAATGATTAAGGAACTCTTACGCTACCACAAGCTCTCCTGATCAATCAACCGAAGAAGAAGAGAAATAGGAGGCGGAGGCGGATTTCGTGGATCAATCCGCCCCTAAGAGGGAGTGATTTTGTATTGACTAAAGATAATATGTTGAGTTGGATGAGGAAAGAGGGTGATAGATGGGTGGGAGCGGGGGTTTATATAGAGGGTAGGGAGCGCTAAGGAGGAGCGAGAGTGAAGGAGTCACGTGTTTGTGTTAAGCGGGGAGTGAAGGAATGGCGTAGGTACAATTAGTCAGAGTGGTAGTTGCCTTGAGTTATCTAGGCCCACGTGCGGGATTAAAAAGTTTGCGAGGCTGGGTTTTGTTGAGCTCCAAGGCTACAGCAGGTCTTGGGACTTGTATATCCCTCACTTTCCTTTGTTATATCCGGGTATCAGCGGCAATTACAATGGGATATATCCGTAGATTTCCCAGAAACATATGGTATTCACTGGAAGTTTGCTAACAATCACTGACATGATTGTTGAGTGATAAATGGCTCAGTAATTTGACTCACAGGTGTAAACAAAGCCACAAGGCTAAGTTACCAAAAATCATATCAAATTTCTTCCTACATACCTGTCCAGTCCACTCAAAGGCATTTCCATAATTTGCCCATGATCTAAACCATAAAAAACTCAACAAACACAGTCTAATCCATCTCTTCCCTTACGCCACTAACTCTACGGTTCTGACACTCACCCCCTCCACCTTCCCCCCAGTCTGCTCTTCACCCATCCTTTCCCCCAAACTTTCCACATAATCCCTAACAATACGGTCAAACCCCTCATCCCTCTGAAACCCAAGCTCCAAAGCCTTCCTATTATCAAACTCCGCAGGCCACGACTCCAAAATCCTCTTCAACCCCTCCTCCTCCCTCATCTCCAGCAGCGCCAACTTGTCTTTCCCGCCCACCCTCTCCAGCGAATCCATCATATCCTGAATCGACACACCGATGCCCGGAAAATTTAGAACGCGGTCAAAAGTAGCGAGGCGACTGGTGTCGAACTGTGTAGCGGCGTGGACGAGATTCTGGACTAGGATGCGTGGTGAACAGAGCCAGTGACGCCATTGCTTGTCGGAGAGTGGGATAACGCATTTGATACCATTCATGGGCTCGCGGATCATACCGCTGATGAAAGAACTCGCTGCTGCAGTGGGTTTCCCCGGTCTCACGCACACAGTGGGGAAGCGCAGCGAGATTCCGTCTATGAAGCCGCGGCGCGTGTACTCTGTGATGAGGTACTCGCACATCATTTTTTCGGCGCCGTAACTGGTTTCTGGGGTCGGCAGTTGCGATTCTGTAACTGGCAATGTGACGGAGTTGTTGTACACGGCTTGGCTCGAGGCGTAGATTACTCGGCTTCCTGGACTGATCTTGCGGATGGCTTCAAGTAAGGCGCGGGTGGCGTCGAAGTTGGCGCGCATACCTAGGTCGAAGTCGGCTTCTGCGCCGGAGGACATGATTCCATGGAAGATGAAGACGACATCTAGGTCAGGAGTTACGACGGAGGAGGATTCTGTGCATAGATCTGCGCGGATGGCTTGAACATTGTTGGATGATTGAGTGGATTTCGGGACAGGAGGTTCGATGATATCAGTGAGGATGAGTGAGTGAGCGGCATTTTTGTCTTCGAGTAGCTTTTTTGCTACAAGTTGGCCGATGAATCCGGCGGCTCCGGTGATAAGTATACGCATTTTTTCTGGAGTCTGAAATGTGATTGTGGAAACATTGTGTAGATGCTAAACTGCTCATATACACGAAAGGAGGGCGGTACTTTCGGCCGATTTTTGGCCCAAAACTCATCTAGGGGCCGTGAACCAATCTGATACTGATCTCAATTTAGTAACTTGTTCGGTGCATCTCACCCCGTCTGCATGCTCTCATAGGATCGGGTCTTTGCTGGAGGAATGATGGTTCCTCACGGCAAACATACCGTCGGAGTTTCGCCGAATCCGCTTCCCCGCATGGAGGCGCCGGCAGATCAGCATGCGCGAAACCTTCCTCGTAAACCTAAGATCGACCGTCACAGCCACAGACGCAGTCGGTTTTACTAAAACTCTGAGTCTTTTTTTACTAGATTTGAGTGACATATTCATTGTGCCCGAGATCGGTGTAAGTATTGCATCCATTCGCGACACTTCGCTGTTGGCGATTAGAACATCATCGCTTGACTTGCACACTACTGTATCTTACCATGAGACTTTGTGGAAGATTCGAATAACATAAGAAAAGAACAGAAATACCCAATCATGGGATTCTCAGCTCTTCCTGGCCCAAGGCGTACTAACATCCTTCTTAAACTTCTCATCCAAACCCGCCGCTTTCAAAATTGCAAATCTCACATGATCAATACCCAGTCTCTTACCATCAACCAATGTCTCCGCACTCACACCCAGAATCTCGCCCAATGCACCTCCTCCAACCGGGGGCTGAATCTCGTTCTTCAGCTTTTCCATAGCCTTCCTAAGATCTTCAGGCGTGCCCTTTGGTGCCAAGCGACGGGCAGATTTGCCATCAAAGCGCTTGATATCTTTGGCGTTGGGGATGTAAAGCTTGTCTAGTTTGGAAAGAATGACTTGATGGCTCACGCCAGCCAGACGTAAAGAAGCTAACAACGAACGGTCTTTGTCTTTGATACCGTGTTCAGCGTCTAGTAAGACGAATACACGACGAAGTTGTTTGCGGTTGCTTATATACTTCATGATTTCCACGCCCCAGGAGGAAAGCGAACCCTCGCCGTATCCAGGCATGTCGACGATAGTCAGTCCACCAATGCCTATGATCTTGTCGCGTCCGTTGGGTTGTTTTTTGATGGTCACGCCGTTTCCGGCGCCCAGACCGTAGAGATTCATTGTTTTGGTGAAGCCTGGTGTTGACGATGTGCGTGCTAACAGTGCTTTAATATCTGCGTTCACAACGGCATTGAGCAATGAGCTTTTGCCGACATTGGAGCGACCAACAAAGGCTACCTCAGGTACGTCTGATTCTGGGAACAGGCGGAATTGTGCTACGCTTCGAAGTAACTTTGCGTTCTTGCTGTTGTTTGTGAAGAAGTGGTTTGCCTGCGTCTTTTGCGCGATGGTTGGTGGGAACGACTCCCAGTACCAATGGAAGTCTTCCAGCTTGCTGAAATGGAGCTTTATGTGGCTGGAAGGGAGTTCGAGCTTTATAGATGGGAGAGTGGACTCAGATTTGCGCTTCGAGCCGAGTGGTGGTGAGGGTGTGGATGGTTGAAGGTCTTCTACGACCTCGGTAGCTCTTCCTTTTCGTGATCGCTGTGATACGTCCCTTTTATTCGTTGGCGGCTCCAATGATTTCTGTGATGATGTTGAGCCACCAGCTTCAAAGTCTTGTGGTGCTGATGGCTCAGGAGAGAAAACTTCTTTTTCCACTGCCTCTAATCTCGTACTTTCCAGTTGGTCCTGTAGTTTTCGCTTCACTCGCTCTGGAAGGTGAGCTAGATCCACATGTATCGTTGACGGCCTCAAAGTGCCCTCTCTTCTCCGTTGTCGTCTTTCTCTCATTGAAAGTGGTCGTGGTTCCTTTGTAAAGGGATCACCCCCGGTTGCAGATGAAATTTGTTTTTCAGTCAACTCCAGCCGGTAGCTACCTTTCGTCTTGCTCATATGCAGCATACTCTGCGTTGGCGGCTCATCCCTATATCTAGATTTGACATCTCCACTCCAATGTTTCTGGAGCCGCAGCCTTGGGTTCGGCGCATCCTGTGGAAAAGCATTAGTTGACTGCGCCCGTAGCTGTGATCGTGTAAGAAGTCCAGAATTCCGGCGGGAAATATTCTGTATGCAACTACTACATACGTAGCCCGGCCTCATCGAAAGACCACTCATCGCGTGAAGTCTTCAAGCGTTCTCTACACCCACATCCGAAATCCAAAGTTCACACCTGGTCCGAGCTCTCCCGCAACTTTTCGCCGCAGCACCTCCGCGGCGAACATCAACCTCCAATATCGCCTGCAACCGCAACCGCAGCCAATATTTCGCCTGACCGCATATCCCAAACACAATCAATCAATTGCTTGAACCGAAATCTCTCACAATGGCGCAATCAGCACCCACCCAAATCCGCTCCCTCTACCGCCGTCTCCTCCGCGAACTCCCCTCCACCCCCCAAACAAGCCGGACCCAGCACCAAAAGCTCTCTGCCCCATCCGTCCTCCAAAAAACCATACGGTCAGCTATCGCAACACCAAAAGCGAGCTCAAGCACACACGGCCAGGTGCAGCAGGCAGAGCAATTCGTACAATATGTGCAGGCGCAACGGACATATGCATCGCTACTGGAGCGCTATAATCCTGGTATGGGAATGACGGAGGAAGAGAGGGTACGATTGAGTGCGCGGAGAGTGGGTATGAATCTTCCGGTGGAATTTGGGCAGGAGGGGGAGAAGGCTTGAGTGGGTTAGATGGGGAGAGAGCGAGAAGAGGGGCTGAATGGGACATCTGCTTCTGGCTGGGAAAGATAAGGAATTTATAGGTATTGATGTTGGAGATGATGATAGGAGGGTCTGAAAAAAAGGACTACTTGGGGCGCAGTCAGACTCTTGTGAAGTTGGAAGCCTCTGAAAATTACTACCCAAAGTACGAAGTCAAGATCACATGCGGAGAGTTGGGGAGATCTGGTCCTATAGACTGAATGTAGAATATATAGACATCTATTGGTCCAGCTAGACTGGCTCAGCAGTCTGTCAACCGCTCAAAATCTAATATAAAGTACTGCCATCGAAGGGTATGTTGCTTTTGGTGTACATGATAACTCCAGTTCGCCGAAATCGTACGCGCCAATGATCCATGTTTTGCGATTTTGAAGGTTCAAGATCGTGCCTCTGCTGTTTCCCCTCGCCCAGGCGTACGCGCGCAAATGTTGCTCCTAATATTTCGAATAGCTGCGCGTGCATGGTGGAGTTGAGATATCAAGGACTGTAGACTCCGGATCAAATCCTTAAGTCCAACTAGTCATCTAATCCTCGAACTTGATACCCTTGCCGCCAGAGGTATCAATCATACCACCTCTGTAGGAGCCCCTCTTTCCCTTGTTCTTTTCCTTGGTGAATCCCTTGCCTTTCGTGATGATCAGCTTGGCATGAGCGCGGTCGGCATAGTCGTATGAAACATATGCGTTGCTTGCGAGCCTAGGGTCAACCTGTGTGTCGGGTTTGATGCGCTGGAATCGGTTCTCGACGTGGCTTCGCTTTGACTTCGGGGCCTCTGCAGAAGGGGAGACAGCCTTACGCTTGTTACTGGCGGGCGCAGGCGATGCTGCGGGAATGGTGTGGGACGAGTCACTGGCGGAACCCTTGCGCTCGGACGCAGTAGATTTAGACACTTTTTCTGATTCAGAATCAGAGCTGTCAGAAGAGCTCGAATCGCTATCGGAGGAGCTTGAGGAGCTGTCAGAGGATGGCGTGGCTGCTTTCTTTCCACTCTTCTTAGCCTTTGCCTTGGTGGGCTTTGCGTCGGAGTCGCTTTCGGAGTCGCTTGAATCGCTGGAGTCGCTAGAGTCCGAAGCGCTAGAAGCAGACGAAGATGACACTGAAGCAGCCTTCTTGCCCTTGTTCTTCTTGCTTGTCTTCTTCTCGATTTCTGACTCGGAGCTGCTATCGGAGTCGCTACCGGAGTCGCTGTCACTGCTAGAGTCGCTGTCCGATGAATCGCTTGATGCGGCCGAGGAATCGGAGTCGGGCAGAGGGACATTGGCAGGTTCGTCGTCATCGCTGCTGTCTGAATCGCTGGAGTCGCTAGAGTCGCTGGACGAAGAAGCAGAAGATGATGAGACAGATTTGGCCTTCTTTGCTTTGGACTTGACGGGGGCGCTTTCCTTTTCCGACTCTGAGTCAGAAGAGTCTGAGCTCGAGTCCGAACTCGACGAGCTCGAGTCATCCTTCTTTACAGGTGCCTTCTTCGCCTTTTGGGGCTTCTTCTCAGTCTCTGACTCACTGCTAGAGTCGCTGCTGGAGTCGCTGTCAGAGTCGCTATCGGAGCCGCTGCTGGAATCGCTGCTGGAGGCGCTCTCCTCGTCGACGTCCATGGGCTCGGGCGCATCTGGGGAATTGGTTGCGCCTCCGCTCTTCTGCCACTTCTCAAACTCATTGAGCTTGCTAGCAGCGCCTTTCTCTCCCTGCTGCTCGAGGAACTTCCTGACAAGGTCAAGAGGTGCTTCAGCGGCTGTTGTTGTTGACGCGGCTACTGCAGACGTCTTATTCTGCTTCTTGTCCGAGCTGGACTTCTTGGCGAGTTTCTTGTCGGCAGCCATGATGGGCAATGGGGGCCGTGTATCGCGTAGTAGTGACGGGGATGGATTGTGGAGAATCGAAAGGTTGCAGGTCGCGCGCGAGAAAAAAGTTACGGCGGGCGGAATGCACCTCGCATGACGCTAGTCCGCAAGCGTGATCCCAGTCCCGCACGCCTGCCGTCTCATACGTGAGTACACGACGCCAAACGTCGCTCACCTGCGCAGGGTGATATTTGGGCCTTTCACTCGCCGTCTTTGCTATCCCCACTTGCACACATCCGACTCAGTTCCAGCGGATACGGCCAAGACGTGCATCGCATATTGCTGCCCAATCCTATCGCTCACGGAGGACCGACCAGCCAACGAACCAACCAGCTCAGCATCGCAAGGACCACCACCACCACGATTCACCATTGATGGCATTACCACGAAGAACCCTCGCTACCGCTGGGTGAAAGTAGTCGGCATATCATCCGCTCAGACTTGGGACCCTTCAGAGTGTAGCTGCCAGCACCTCAGTCAAGATGGACGGGAGGCCACGCAACTATACCAACGGAGGCGGGGACCCTCGAGCTCCCCCAATGCGTCCGCCCACCGGGGGCTCGAGAGGAGCCCCCTCTGCCTCCAGCTCGAGCTCTACACCCTCCGGCATGTCGCGCGCCGAGCGGTTTGACGACGAGCGACGTCGGATTACTGAGAGCTGCTTCTCCAAGTTGGACGAGCAGGGACAGCGTACGTGTTCCTGGACACCACCATAAACACAGTTGGCATACATGTCTAGGTCTTGCCTATCCTGCTGGTTCCTAGACTTGGCCTGAGTTATGCTGACATGTCCCAGTCCAGGAATCCTACATTACCCACATCCGTATTCAGGAAGATGGCGCATATCCGCAGGCTCCCCCTCCGCCAAACTCACCACCTTCAAACAAGAAGGCGAGAATCATCATGATATCCGTGCGCAACACAGGCAGAGTCAAACTGCACAAGGCTAGGGAGAACGCCAACGGCACCTTTTCTATTGGAAAGTCTTGGCCTATGGAAGAGCTGTCTGCAGTTGAGAACTACGTCCACCTCAACCCTGCCAACGAGGAAGAGGCGCAACGCAAGCAGTGGGCCGGAGAAAAAGGCTTCACCGTTACCATCACCAAACCATACTACTGGGAAGCTGGGACCGCAAAAGAGAAGGAGTTTTTCATAGGAAGTATGGTCAAGATTTACAATAAGTATACTAAGGGTGACTTTCCCATCTTGACAGGATTCAGTGTTTCCGAACTCAACAGCCTTACGAATGGACAACCACATCTTGCTACACCGGAGGGCCGGGCCGCAACCGCAGCAGGCAGTCCAGCAGGCGGTAGCCCAGGGCCACAGCGACCGGGACCATTAGAGCAGAGACCTATGCCTCCAAAAGCAGGCGGACCTCCCCCAAGAAGACCTGGAGAAATGCCGCCACCCGCAACAGACGATAGCAGAAGAGGGCCGCCACCCGGATCAAATCCTAATTTCCGGAGACCGCCAGGAGAATTCCAGGGTCCGAGAAGGCCTGGCCGGCCAGACGATGATAGACCAAACACAGGCGACGAGGCTCGCAGACGTCCACCATTTCTGCCAAATCAGATGCAAGCTGCTCCATCCATGCCTAATCTAAGGCAAAAGCAACCTATGGATCCGACCATTCGAGCGCGACCCAGCGGGGACAGTATGCGACCCCGCCCCAGTCCCGGCCCTGGCCCTGGCCCGAATTTCATGCCACCAACATCGCCTCTTGCGCCGCGAAACTTGACACCGCAGTCTTCAGCTTCAGAATTTGCCAGTCGACCAAAAACACCAGAATCTGCGAAATACCAGACAAATCTTAGCCCCGGACGCGGTCCGCCCTTTGAAGATGGTCCGCCTCAACGACCAGAGAGGTCGTTTGACGAGCGATCAACAGACGGTGCAGCACCAGGTATCTCAACACCAGACGCGCGCAGACCTAGAGACTATGCTTCGCCCCGGAGAGATCCCTCTCCCAGAGGTCTGAGACCCGGTACAGCCCAGAGTGGTGCTCGGCCAGGTACTTCTCAAAGCAACGCCAGTTCAAACTTCAACCGACATGATGACATGCCTCCAGACGAACCTCCACAGCGGAGAAGACCCACAATGGAGACGCGTCCGTCTCAGCTATCGCAGCGTAGCTTCGACAGCCAAGGTACAGACTCACGTTCAGTCTTCCATACCCCTTCGGCATCCCCCGCTCCGCCGATGGAAGTACCGCCTCGAAGACGACCCCAAGAGACGCCAGAGCGGTTAAAGCCATCTTCTCAAGAAAGCATTGCACGCTCAGATCCTGCAGTATCCAGATCACAACCCACTCCACCACCCACTTCCCCGTTACCACGAATACCAACAGCTCCTATGCCACAAGCGCCCCCGCCAGAGGAGGTAGCGGCCCCTCCTGTTCAAGCTCAGCCAGTGCGAACCGAACCTGCTCCTGAACCCGAGCCCCAAGTTGTACCCGCTGAAAACACCAGCAGCCCAATAGACGAGCAAGAGACTGAGGCTTCACCCCGTCCTGGTCTTGGTCCAATGGTAAAGAAACCATTGGTCGCCGACAATGCAGCAAACAAGCTCCGAAAGGCTGCGGCAGCAGCAGGAGCTTTCAAGCCTCGTGCAGGCGGTGCCGCAGCAAAACTCTTCAACAAAGATACAAAGGCATCTGATGAGCCTGACGGTGTCAGTGCAGTGTTCATACCTCAACGGCCAGCTCCGAAAGAGACACCAAAGGAGGAGCCAGAAGAGGAAGAAAAGAAGCTAGAGGAAGCGCCTCCACCTGTGCCAGATCGATCATCCAAGGAGCGACCACGTATCAGCACCGAGGTTGTACCATCAGTCACTGTGTCTGGTCCATTGGCGCCAGCTTTGCCGGAGGTTAAGCAAGAGGTAGAAGAGGAAGCTCCTCCACCAGCTTCAGAAAAGGCAGCGGCAAGAAGCGCCGAGACGGAGCCTGAAGTGCGACGTAAGAAGCGTAGGTCCAATCAGCAGATTGTGAACATCTCGAAGCTTGGCATTGATCCTAGCATCCTTGATGAACGCGGTCTTGAGTTCGACATTCTACTATCAGAGCTAGGCTGGGGCAGTAATGAGCTTTCTCACAAGCACATTGAATCCCTCGAAGCCGATATCAAACGCGAGATCGCTCGCGTCGAAGCGGGGAGCTGGCTCAACCACCTAGAGCAGAAAGATGACCGAGTGGAGGCTGTTGAACGTATGCTGGATCGCGCCATTGCTGAATGCGACGAACTTGAAGGCCTGTTGACCTTATACAACGTTGAACTGAGTAGCTTGAACGATGACATTGCTTTCATCGAAGCGCAGAGTCAGGGTCTACAAGTCCAGACGGCCAACCAGCGTTTGCTGCAGCAAGAACTTCGACAACTCGTCGATACCATCTCAATCACATCAGACCAACTAGAGCCTTTGAGACGTGCTCCAATAGGAAAGATTAGTGGCCTCAAAGATATTGAATCGTCCTTGGTTCTTCTCTACAAAGCGCTGGTTACGATTGATCCGTCTTTTGTGGCAGGGAGCCGAGCCGGTGCTAACGATACCCTCAACACGTTGAACGGAAGATCAGGCATAGGCAACAGCGATTTGGCAACAATGCAGGCTCTGCAAGAAAAACGAGATAGGTATCTTGGCGAGGGAACCATGTTCCTTGAGCGACTCAAGAAGCACATGGAGATTACCTTTGGTGCCGCTTTCCTGTCAACAAAAGATGCTCTTTCGAATCTTGACCAGGGTTCCATGCCGTCTTTAAGGAAGAACATTGAGGCACATGATACTGGTCGAAGCGAGCTGTGGATGTTGAGTCCGGTAATGCTCTTCGCCAAGGAAATCGACAGGGCTTCATGGGACATGCTTCTCCGGATGTACCAGAACCAAGCAGCGCAATTGTATCAACAGGAAGTTCGCGATAACATTCTGGCTTGGAGGAAATTTGCTCGGAAGCCCAGTGGCGAGGAGCAAGAGCTACTGTTTACCGCACAAGAAAAGGAGCCAGAGAGTATCACGGGGACTGCCAGGAAGCTGACTGTCAAGCGAAGTCAGACTTTGGCTCGTGGCTTACGAGCGGCTTCTGGAGATAAAGAGGGTAAAGAGAGCAAGGCGAAGCCAGCAAGTCAAGATGGCAAGCTGCATGCATACGATGTCTTTGCTAGGGTCCTAGAAGACACAGGCCCTGTGCTACTGACGGAGCAAAACTTTATCACAGAATTCTTCCACGCTACGTCAACTGACTCGCTCGATTTCCCTGACGCGGTCCAGGCAGCACCTCCAGAGAATCGCCGAGGACCTAACCTTTGGATCAGAAAGCAATTCGAGCCAGACAGGGCCATGGCGAAGCATCTCACTGGAGTCATGGAGGAGATTTTCTCGTTCTGGCCTGCGGAAATTGCCAGTCTTGTAGACTGGGCCACGAAAGCCGACCCTCTGTAAGTCTTGTTTTCACATCACATCGCCATGATACTAACTATTCACAGGCAAGGTGTAGGCATTCTTTGTGCTGTTGATCGGAAGTTGATCGATATCGAGGAAACAAACCAAGACTTTTTGACCAGGAACTTGCAAAAGATTCACGAGCGTCTGCAAGGACTCTTCAGCCGGTTCTTGGACGAGCAAATACGGGCAATTGAAGACACCAAAGTCAAGATCAAGAAACGCAAGGGTGTTATATCCTTCATGAAGACATTTCCCCACTTTTCTGTTGCCATCGAAAACATGCTGCCGTCTGCAGCTGAGGGGGGCGACCAGCTGGAGATCCGCCGTATGGTCAATGACGGGTATCAGAGAATCAACAAGGCCATGTTTGAGAGTTTGAAAGTGATTGCAAAGGAGTCTCCCACCGTCATGGCTTCGCAAGGACAGGGCGATCCCGAAGACAAGGAGGCACTGAACTACCACATTCTGCTTATCGAAAACATGAACCACTACATGGAGGAGGTGGATGCACGTTCCGTTTCCGTGCTGGAATACTGGAAGGGCAAGGCGCAGGATGAGTACAATGAGCACATGGGCCTTTATGTTGATGCCGTTATCCGGCGGCCGTTGGGCAAACTTTTGGTAAGTGCACATGCAACGCTAAGCTCTGGGATTAATCTGACAATGCCTAGGAATTTATCGAGTCCACTGAAACACTTCTCGGCCAGCCAGGCGCGAGCGCTCAAGCCATTTCGCAACGCTCTTCGCACTCTCGCTCCGTGTTCAAGAAGCTAGTGCACTCGCATGATGCTAAGGAGCTGCGAAAAGGCATCGAGTCGCTCAAGAAGCGAGTGGACAAGCACTTTGGTGACGCAGACGATCCATCGATTAGTCGCGATCTCGTATTCAAGGTGCTTAAGGAATGCGAGAAGACTTACATGAATGTGTCGGAGCGGATGATGACGATCAACCAGGATGTATATAGTGGCGAGGTGGAAATTGATTGGGGCAGCAAGGAGATTGACGCAGCGTTCAAGAGATAGTGTCTTCGGAAGAGCGGAAGTCTGTATTTGCGAGGGCTTGGGCTGTGACGTTGCGCCGGTGTGTCGTTATGGAGGACGTGTATATTGGCGGATTTGAATGCGATAACGAAGACTCTTGGACTGCATGGCTTGTATGGCATTCAATTCAGTCCAGCCAGGACAGGATAGCTAACATGTGTTTGGAATCTACGGGCTATATCTCCCCGGCTTATTTCTCGAAAGCTCATCGTACGGTGCAATCATTATCCCGCCCACACGTACTTGTCCTATACACCGATGACAGGGTGCTCACATGTCTAGGCGCACGTCCACCGGCCTCCGAGTACACCGGGCTAGAACAAACTGGTTTCCGAAGGGTGGGGCCTGACCCCAGTCTAGGTTGGTCAGTAGCGAGTAATGACGATATTGATCGCTACTTGTAGTCAAGATCGGGCAGATCGTATGCACTGTATTAGGCATAGGCCAGATTAATGATCTTCCATTGAGGCTCATTATACTGTTTCACGGGGATTTCGGCGCTCTTTCAAAACAAACTTTCAGGCAACCCAGTACGTATCCAAATAAGCAAATTATGGGAGCCACTGAAGCCATTTCGCCCGGCGTATTCCCAACGCCTTTTAAATAAGGCCTTGACCACCCCCCCCCGCCTGTGAAGAAGCAAACGTGTTCTCGCTCGTAGTCTACCTTTTACTATAGTATACGCCAACAATGACACTCTTACACACACTGCTCAGGGCAACAGCCTTTAAGAACCCATTGCTACGCACACTTGTCCCTACCGTGGCCCTTGCATACGGCATCCAAGCCGCTGTAGCAATCCCCTCCATCACTGCGCAAACAGAGCGCTACTACGACCTCAGCGGCAGCCTGACTTACCTTTCCTGCACAGCTCTCAGTCTCACACTACCCTACCTGCGCGCCCGCGCTGCAGGAACAGCAACAAATGGCCTCGTCGACTACTTCGGCAACCAAGGTCTCGGACAGGGCACGACGTGGTGGTGGAGACAAGCGCTGCTGAGCGCCGCGGTGGGCCTATGGGCTACAAGGTGTATGTTGTAACCAGGCTTTGAATCCTTCCAACCCCTCCCCCCGTCGAAGGAGTGAACTCCACGTGACACACAACCATTTTACTAACAACGCCGGGGTTAAACAGTGGGATCCTATCTCTTCAGACGCATCTCAAGCGACGACGGCAAAGACTCGCGGTTCGATAGTATTCGCTCTTCCCCCCCGAAATTCCTCGTTGCGTTCTTCGCCCAGGCGGCGTGGGTCTCGCTGTGTACGCTTCCTGTTATCCTCGTTAACTCTGTGCCGCGCTCCGCGTATGCTTCGTCGTTACTCGGTCAAGCCGTCTCATCAAAACCCTACCTAACGGATATCCTTGGCCTGGCGATTTTCGTATTCGGACTAGGGTTTGAAGTTGTGGCTGATAGGCAAAAGGATGCGTGGGTGCAGGCGAAGAAGGCGAAGAAGCACGAAGAGCAGTTTTTGACGCATGGGCTTTGGGCTATGTCCAGGCATCCGAATTATTTTGGTGAGGCGACGTTGTGGTCTGGTATTGCTGTTGCGGCAGCGGGGTTGCTGGTTCGGCAGCCTGCGCAGACAGCGTTGGGGTTGAGTGGGGGGTTGAGTGGGAAGATGTTGGTGACAGGGATGTGTGTAGCGAGTCCTGCTTTTGTGAGTTTTTTGCTGCTCAAGATTAGTGGGGTGCCGTTGAGTGAGGAGAAGTATGATAAGAAGTATGGGGGTGATGAGGAGTATCAGCGGTGGAAGAGGGAGACACCGATGTTTTTCCCGAAGCTTTGGTAGAGTTGGGTGATGGGAGGTTCTTTGTGTGTAAAAAGCGAGTTCTTTTGGGCGGAAAGGATGAAATGCGGCTTATGGTGCGGATTGTTAGATAGATGGCTGAGCAATCGTAAAAGGGGATTTACATGTACAACAAAAACTGTCCTCGTTACCTATTTCATATCCACCTCCCCTCTAACAACCTTACCTCTCTCTTTCCCTTTAAACCTGAAACCTCCACCTAGGATGCCTATCCCCCAACGCCAAATCTTCAGCACTATCATGGAATCCAGGTGTGTGCGGTTCACTCTCCAGCATCTTAACTTTCTCCGCATTCTCCCGATTAAGCACCACCCACAACGCGCTCACAACCACTAAATTCAGCGCCAGATACCCCAGGGCAAAACTGTGTCCAAGAATGTATCTCGGCCCGCTATTCGCACGGTACAACTGCGTACCTAGCACAGCACCCAGATTGCCGATGCTGATTTGCAGGGCATTGGCTGTTGCGCGTTTAGTTTGCCCGCTGACGTTGATGGCGGGCCAGCAGAGGACGAGCGCGACGGACGGGTAGATGCCCGTGGCAGCGAAGAAAGTGCCTACATATGAAACGCCTGGGCGTGCACGCGGATTCGTGTTTGCGAGTAGGATGATGTAGCCGATGATTGCCAAGGAGGAAGTGAAGAGGATGAAGGCGGCGCGGCGGGCGTAGCGTTCGGAGAGGATAGCGATGAGGATTGTGAAGAGAGTGGCGAGGGCGTAGGGGGGGATGGTGAGGAGTTGGCTCTGGGCGGAGGTGTAGCCCATGTCTTTTATGATTGTGGGCTGTTCAATTGTTAACATAACTAGTTTAGACTGTTTAGGAGTTTGGGGATATAGGGATAGAGATACCAGGAATAGAGATAGAGTATACAGTGGTAAACTCATCGTGTGGAATCCAAATGCATAGAGCCAGACTTTAATGTCTTTGGTTGCGAGAATAACTTGGCCCCAGGAAAAGGCCTCATCGTTTGTGGCGTCACTGTCGGCCTTGAGGCGTGCTTGGAGAAATGTGCGTTCTCTGGGAGAGAGCCACGATACGGTAGATGGGTAGTTGGAGATGAACCAGTATGCTATTACACCAATGACGACAGTGGCGATACCTTCCTGTTCGTAGATTTTAGTATACATGCGATTCAGGAGATTGTGAAATGTAGTACATACGAGGATGAATATCCACCGCCATCCTGGCTGTCCAGCTACACCACGCATGTGCGCGATGCCATATGCGAGGATCTTGTCTCAGTGTCAGCCTATATTCTAGTCTCTCCTGCCTGAGATAGGGGGATTCCACATACACCGCCAAAAGCCCCAGCAAGCGAAGCACAGCTAAAGAAGAGCGAAATGCGATACTGCCGCTCACTCCGCTTATACCACATACTCAGATAGTACACGACTCCGGGGAACAGGCCAGATTCTGTGACACCGAGACTATTCACAATTCCTCGTTAGCTCCATCACTGCGCTTTCAAACTCAAAACCCCTCAGCTTGGGAAAGTAAGAGGGGGGAAAGAATAAGGAAAAGGGACATCAAAAACTCACAAAAACCGCACAATCAAAAACCCCGTCAGATTCTGCACAATACCAATCAGCGTCGCCACAACCCCCCACGCCACCGTCAGTGTCGGAAGCCAGAACCGCGGCGTCGTCCGCTTCAGCACAATATTACACGGAATCTCGAATAGCACGTAGCCGACAAAGTAGAGCGTGAGGCCCGTTAGGTACTGGTTCCCTGTCATTTTCAAGTCTGTAGTGAGACCCTCGATGCGTGCGTTGGCGACTAATTGTTTCCGTCAGCCTTGGCCCTTAAACCTATTCCTTCACTCCGAGATCGAGGAAACGGCGAAGGAGGAAAGTGATGGGAGAGAGTAGTAGAGGGGGGAGAAGATATACCGTTACTCCGATCCAAAAACGACAACAAGTACAAAATCGACACCGCAGGCAACAAGCGCAAATCCAACTTCCGCAGCAACCTCTTTTCTTCGGCCTCACTCGTCTGCGCAAGAACTTGTTGTTCGTCGGTCGTGGTATCCGAGTCGCTGAGCGCATGCTCAGCATCGTGCTTGTCTTCTGCCATTGCTTTCGAATCCCGCCTAGTAGTTATCAAGTTTCCTCCCCCCCCTAAAAAAATAACGTTCAATTACAGCCGGATTGTCAAAAGGCTGGAAATCAAAGTCAAGAACAGCAAACGTCGGAAATTGGGGACAAAAGTTTAACAAGAAGAAAGGTATTTATACCACCCGTCCTTCACAGACCCACAGACCCTACCTACCCATCCTTGTCTAAACCGCACTACCCTCCCTCCTCCCCAAATGATGCAAGATTTCCCTCACTATCCCTCCATCTTGCCCTTCTACCTCTATCCCGCTCCGTCTGCCGTCATACGCACCTCCACGCATGCATTGCCGTAGCTCCCCCAGCGCCCAAACACCCCCTCCCCATGTCACCCGTTCGACAAAGGATAACGTGATTGGAGAAGCATAGCTACACGCACACGCGATTGGAGACACACTTTTCCCATACCTACGTGATTTGGCGTTTGCTTTGGAGTAAGAAGACAAGGAGAGTGCCAATCTCAGCCAATAAATTCGCTTGTCCTGCAGAAGCAACAAAAAGCATTTTGTCTGGGGGGTTGATGGTCGCTGCGGGTAAAGGTGCGGGTTGCGCGAAAGACGAAATCGAGGGGTGGGATGTCGTGATGTGCTTAGGGTGGGTGGGACTAGGCTGGTTTGGGAATGTAAATGGTGGATGACGGGGGGATGTGGGGGGAGACGACGGGCGGGTAAGAGGGTAATAGAATTTGGGGGTATAAGAGAAATATGAGGGAGATAGTAGGATTAAAGGTTTGATTTTTTAGGTTAGTTTTGTATCAGGATACGGGTTCTTGGGATGACAGCTTTTTGGATCGTGACTTAATTTGGTTCTTGGATAAGGTTTTGTGGTGAGATACAGTGATCGTCCCCGCATAGGCACAAAGTATAATTGAAAATTGTATATGGTATCTCTAACAAAACTTTCTGCTTCCCCTCTGCCTCGAATCACAAATCAGTACCAAAAAAGGGTGGATGTTGTTTCAAAAGAGTCATTCATCATGTGGTGTGTATATGTATATGCTAATCATTTACTCCGTCCTTTCTCTTGCTCTTTCAATCGGCCGTTCAACCAGCCAAAGCCTCCTCTTGAGCCATGCATGTACAACAAAAGGACGCCATACAAATGCAATTGCGCTTCTCATCCATAAAAACAAAGGGGTATCTAAATACGTCCACCTTCTACAATCTTCCTTCCGATCAACTCTAACTCGCCACTTTCAGCAGTGCGCCTCCGTTCAAGCACCCATCTCCCTTCTCCTGCCTCATCGTGTTCACGGACATAGGTTACACTATCCGCCGCGCTGCCCTTCCTGCTGTGACCGCGGTTCCAGCCCCCAGAACTGCTACCACCATTTGGTGTAATGGGAGAAGATGTCGAGATGGGGCTGAGAACTACACTTTGTCGCCTCGGCGCACCAGGCATCGAGGTTGTGCCAGCGGTTGGTGAAGAAAGGGACGTGTCGATAGAAGGAGGGTTAGGCGGGCGAGTATGAGGCTGAGGCGGAAATGGCGAGGACAGTGCCATTGGGAAGGGCGATGCAGGGAGCGAAACGTGTGAAGGCGATGTAACAGGGATGCTGATCGGGGACATGACCAGGCTCAAGTTGTGCTGAGCATACAGTTCAGATATTGAAGGCAGGAGTGGCGCTTCGTTCCCGACGATATGCCCGGTCGGACTCGAGAGGCTGTTGTAATCACTGCTTGTAAGTGTAGGGCTCTCCATTTGTCCATTACCACCAGCTTCGTCTTCACTGGAGCTACCAGACTCGTACGCGCCATTAACAGCGTCCATGAGGCTTGAGTCACCTTCCTCGTAATCGCCATCTTCATGGGGTTGGTGTCCTGATAAATTATTGTTGGAAAAATACGGGTTCTCCACGGGGCTGGAGGGATGCTCCATCATGCGATTCCCCGCAGGAGTCGTGGCCCGAGGAACGAATTGCATGCCCATGGGCGACGAAGTACGTGGACTGTTGGACAGGCTTCCTGGCAAACTGGAAGCACTAGCACCAAAGGCTCCCTTTCTCAGCTTCATCAAACTATCCAGGCTCATGTCCTCTTCCTCTTGACCGAAAAATCCGCCATAAGGACTCATGCGGGCGAGTTGTGCTAGTGCAGGACTCGCGATGGGCTGTTGTCCATCTCGGAATTGGTTAAGACTGATAAATGAGTTGCGGGTGCTGTATTCGCTTCGTTCGGTAATGGGCGTCAGGTTAGGCTCTCTCACGGCGTTCCGTCCACTGACAGTGCGACCGACCCCGGATGGGCCAAAGAAGCCACCCCAAGCGCTAGGTGACTCGCCAACTGCGGATGCATAGAAGCCGAATTCCTGACCGTAAAAACCTTCGTCGTCATATGCTAGTGCTTCGGCGTTTGCTGCAGCAATGATCGGATCGTCTTCCAGAGCCGAGTCAAAGTCGCTGTAGTCGTAGTCGTCGACGAACCCTGAGCTCATTCCGTAAACATCGTCGTCTAGTGGAAAGCTGGTCGTGTCCACACTAACGCGGCCATCATCGGGCACCAAGCTGGGCCTTGAGTGATTGACTGAGGGTTCCTCGATCTCAGAGCTAGGTTGACCCGCATCCACGCTCGCCTTCCTATCAAACCGGCCAGCAGCCTCGGCGCGGACTGCCGCATCTGCGAGCGCACTATGGTAAGCACTGAGGTTCTCGAAGCTGGGCACGGCCATCTGTTGTGCAATAGAAGTCTTGTGAGCAAGAGAAGGGGCTGACTTGTCAGGCGTCTGAGGAACAATATCATCATCGGCCTCATAACCAGTCTCGGAGTCCAGCACGTCATATGCGCGAGGCTGAGCAGTGGATGACTGTCCCTCTGCAGGGAGCTTGACTTTTCTGTCAAAGAGTGGCCCATCGGGATCGTCGAAGACGCTTTCGTCGAATTCTGTCGCACCTACATCCTGATCGCCAATCAGTCCATCGTCAAAGTACATATCATCGTCGAGGTCGAGATTGTTTGACACTGGCTGGCTGGCGCTAGCGGGTACAGCTTGGGTGAGCGCATCCGCCGGCTTAACTGACGACGAGCTATCGCCCTCGCTTTGGGAGTTACTCAATCCTAAGCCATATAGTTGAGTGTTTGTCGCGTTCGGCGCACCGGTTAGGTTAGTCATCGTTGGCATGTAATTTTGCTGAAACATGGGACCTGGCATGGCAAACCCTATGGGATTGCCATTCATGTCGACGGGTATTTGCATCTGTCCAAGCGCAAAATTCATTGGGCTGTTCATGTTTTGTTGTATCGATAAAGATGAAAAGTCAACCCCATTGATGCCAGAATCGAGCGTTTGGTTGCCCAATCCACCAGTGAACTCATCTTCGTCACCGAGCATGGGAATTTCCTCATCGAACCCACCATCCATGTCATCATAGTCATCCATGCCGTATTCATCGTACTCATCCTCAACAGAATTTGTAGAAATGCGCGCTTGTTTCTTCTCCGCTTCCTTTGCCTTGTGCCGCTCTTCGAGGAGCTTTTCCTGCGCAGAATCCGTACCACCTGAGATCTGGAAGCTGAATCTTGAAGCCCTACTACTGAAATGTGCAGGAAGTCCAGCTGGCTGGAAAGAGGGATCTGTGACGGATGTGGCCCTTGAGCGTGTTGGGGGCATGGTTACTTTTGTTGATTTCTTTTTCCGTGGCGTGACGTCTGCGGAGACATTGGATGGGTCTTCAGACTCTTGCACTGGGGACAGTACCGAATTGACACCATCCATTCCTTGGAACGACGGCCGAGGCGGCGGTGAGGAGTTTGGTGGCGCAGGCTGTGGTGGTACCGGGGAGGGTTTGGGCGGCATGGGAGGAAGTAGTGAGTGTTCGGGCGGAGGAAATTGGACAGAATTTCGTGCTAAAAAGTCCTTGTTGACCAGATTTTCTGCTCTTATCGCCGCCTGCGACTGCTCGTAGCTGGTGTCATCGTCAAAATGCTCGCGAAAGACCGGCGTGTGCTCCCTGTCGATTTTTGGCGGACTGGCGCGAGCAACCTCAGGTTGTGACTCGGCTGCTTCCGATGAGGTGTTGTAGGAATAATTTCTGTTGAGCCTGGGGGCATTGAAGTCGTGTACAATCTTTCCGCGAATACTCGGGTCGTAGTTGTCGGGCATGGGCGGCAGGTTGGAAGGAGAGCGCTGGGTGACGAGGGATTCGTCGGCCAGAGGATCCAGCGTCTGTGCCGACTTTCGTCGCATGAGGAGAGACATTGGCTTCCGCAGATTGAGCCTGGATCTTGACTTTTGGGGTGGTGGTGGTGGCGCCACGGTGGGTATTGATGTTCCCTTGGAGCTGCCCGTAAGCTTATCGCTGATGCCGCTCAGTAATGAGGGCTGGGACTTGGAGAACATGGAGTAGTGGCTTGGGGAAATGGCCGAGGGAGTCTCGGACAGGGAGTGCAGGGACGTAAGAGGCGAGGTTGCCGTATTGGAGCGGGCCGAGAGAGGCTTTTGGTCGTGGACCGGCGAGGGAAAGTCATGCGACCGTTGGGGAGGAGACAACATAGTGGGATCGTGGGCCATCACGTTGCTAGGGCTGCCGTCGGTGGTGGTGGCCGAATGCTGACTGGAGGTGTAATGCGAACTACTTGGCGAGGGCGACTTGTCCAGCTTGGAGGCGACACGGGCAATGGGCGGCAGCTTGGGTGGAAAAGGCGATACGGGGGATGAGGCAGCTTGAAGGCTGGCATGTTGTTGATGTTGGTGGAAGCGCGGCGATGACAAGTACTCGGTGGATTGCGACGCTGGGCCTGGAAGTGGGTAAGAGGTGGGGCTTGACACGGCCTGTTCTGGAGAGGCGACAGATGAGGCATTGCGCTTCGCATGGCCAGGCCGGAACTTGGAAAACATGCTCGTGCCAGAGGGCGCCATATCTCTTGTGTTTTGTATCGCCGCACGGCCGCTTGTCGCGGAGCCACTCCGCGGCAACGAGGGGGGGATGGAGAGGGGCGGAGAGGGAGGATGCAGGAGGGGAAGAGGGGTGGGTGGGCTGAGACGGCGAGCCTCTCAGCGAGGCCGGGCAGGGGAGCACGCCATGTGCAGGCGAGTGGTTATGGGAGGGTGAATGAAAAAGTTGGTGGT